AGAAGTATAATAATATTTGACAATAGAACCATAGTAATGTTCAAACTTATAATTTCAATTAATTATAGTCGAATTTCGACTACTGACGGGCCACTAATCAATATAAATATAGGAAACTAAGAAAATAATAGGTAGCTTTTTAAATCTGTAGTTTTAAAATCAAACAATTAACCGTGTGAAATTTATATGAACAAACATTCTGCTGAAAGTACGGTTGAAATCACGTAATTTATTTTCATATTAACACAAAATGCAAACCTTTATTTCTTGTGTAAGTGAATTAATTTTCATGAGACGATAATGTAGTGCAAACACGCCGTGGACCATCGACCTCGCGTTGCTCATTTTCAATGCAAACAATATCGCGACATTTGAAATTAACGAGCTATATCATAATGTGAAGCTGACGGCGATTCAATGGTACGGAAACATAGTGCTGTTTATTGATATAGTTTCAGATGAGCGAACACAGTCCCTTAACACTACTCCGAAGATACTTCATTGACTGCACGATTTTGCTGTCAGTCCTCACTGCTAAATAGTCAATTTAGGAAATCGTCGTGCTCTAAAAGATGTAACGCCTGGACTACTCGCTTCGAGCGATACCACTATGTTGGGGTTCAAATCGCGCCATACAAACAAATTCGGCTTGTACCAATTTTTCTAATGTAATACTTACTTAGCTCATGTTCGCAAATGGCTTACATGATAAAGGAATAACATCGTGTAATAATAAACCAACCCCACAAATAGGTATAATTTGCGCATTTACCTTTCAATTAACACTACAAGGTGGTTGGCGACATTCACGTTGTCATAACTATGCATTCCGGTAACCACTTAAGACCGGGGGACTGTGAGCTCTTTCACCGTTCCAAGTAATCAATAAAAAACCCACTTTGTGTCATGAGGATAGGGTTTAACTAACAGCTGTTCTGTCCTATACTTATATATCGGAGCGCATGAATGCTGCGCTTCAGAAATAGGCTGAATTATAAGTATCTACACGTATAGGTTCACAATGTTCTCTACCACCGGTTATTACGCATTCCATTCCGATAGATCAAATTTAATTGTAGTGTACAACTAAACTGACTGACAAAGTAAGAAAGTATTTAATAGTTATGAAATTAATAGGTCATTTATAATGATCCTATTCCAAGTATGAAGCATATCTTATAACAAACTTTTAAAAGTAATATCTATAATATTAGAGATATATTCGATTAAAAACGAAGGATTGCCGAGAAAAGCGTTCTATTCACATAGTAGATGTAATGAGAAAAACGTGATATTGGACTGCTATAGTGTCTAAAAAGCTCGGAAAACTATGTCAATGTGCTTCTGTGCGACGGTTTACGACGTCATTTAACGTTGTGTCGCGACCGCTATACGATGACAGAGTTTGTGTAGAAAAGGAAGCTTATAAAATTCACTGTATTGAGCTTTCTGAATCAATCTTTGTTTTTGACTCTAAATATCGTCTGTGAATACAAGAACTAGTCATGAAAATGTTCTAAAACTTCACAGTCGTCACCATCAATCAGTTCTTCAATAATATTTATGTATTCCAAGCGTAAATATGAACCAAGAGAAATATGAAATTAATGAAATATGAACAAAGAGAGAGGTACCAATAAACGAAAGGGGGGGGTAGTTCACTGATGTTAAATTTACTTAAATTATATTGCCATATAAAGTAAGCTAAGTAATCTGGCCCACTACCTGCCGCTACTTCTTCCCTGTGATAATATCAATCAATATTTCTGGTGAAATACATACTTAAAATGTGTTCATTAACGACATCAACTAATCAAAATTTATATGAATGCATAATTCGTGGTTTTAAGGCGCATTGTTAACCCACACGAGCGCTTATCACCACTAACCTGAATTTTTTTTTATGGCCTAGTTGTGTGGACGAGCTCACAGCCCACCTGGTGTTAAGTGGTTACTGGAACCCATAGACATCTACAACGTAAATGCGCCACACACCTTGAGATATAAGTTCTAAGGTCTCAGTATAGTTACAACGGCTGCCCCACCCTTCAAGCCGAAACGCGTTACTGCTTCACGGCAGAAATAGGCAGGGCGGTGGTACCTACCCGTGCGGACTCACAAGAGGTCCTACCACCAGTAATTACGCAAATTATAATTTTGCGGGTTTGATTTTAATTACACGTTGTTATTCCTTCACCGTAGAAGTCAATCGTGAACAATTGATAAGTACGTATTTCATTAGAAAAATTGGTACCCGCCTGCGGGATTCGAACACCGTTGCATCGCTATATACGAATGCACCGGACGTCTTATCCTTTAGGCCACGACGACTTCATGCATGCATGCATATTTCTGCCGCGATGTAATCATAAGTTTCGGCTTAAAAAGTACGACGCCCGTCAGTCATACAATGCAATTGGGCCTTTGACCTCGTTTCTGACGGTGAATGGCGACATTCACGTTTAATGGGCTCTCCGTTAAACAATTAACGCTAGAGGGGCCGTGCGCTCATTCACTTTACTATAGCACAGAGCAAAAATGTAACTATTATATAATACGGTTTTTGATCCAGCTTCTTTTGAAATTGTTTTGATCGCGTGCGTTCCAGTTTTCAGAACTTTATGTAATGATAATTTTTTCAATTACGTAAACAGGAAAATGTTCTCACGAGCCACGGAGTCTATAATGAATACCAAAGCCCATATACACCTCAAAGTTAATGCTGCCACTCAGCTTGAAACTTGAGGCCTATGTCTCCGGTATTTACGCATGTATTTATGGGTTTTGATTTGTATTCCACGATCTTAGTTCTTCATTGCGAATGTCATTCATAAACATGAGTTAAGTATTGTTGTTTCATCTTAAAATAACGATTGAAGTTTTAATCTGACCGTATTAAAAAAGCTGACAACTACTAATATTGCCTAACTATTTGCTAGGTTATTTCCTATCCTAAGAGTTCATTATAAATAAATTAACATACAAATAACTCGGTCGATATGTCAATACTTGACAGACATTCAGTCTGCTGTTTAAATGCAAACAGAAATGTTGCATTGTATGGAGCCGAAGCAAATATTTTCACTTAGAGCATATTTTTATTATACCGCGACTTCAGAGATCTTTTGTCGTGGTCGACTAAACGCTATCCCTGGAATGGCCATTCATTACGGCATTGCCCACCTCAGGGAAGTTGTCTCGTTTTCTTATTTTAAACAAGCTTTTGCCCGCGACTCCGTCTGCGTGGAATAGTTACTACTTTGGCATAACGCTAAATTTTATCCCCCACTTCATTTACGTAGAAAGTGAAAATATTTTTAGATTATATAATGTTAAGGAAGCTATTTTTAAACCCCCATTTTTAAACTATTTTGAATATTATATATTAGTATAGATGGAACAAAAAAAATACTGCCGTTTTTTATACTCAACCTTAGAATTTTTTCGAGATGATTTTAATAGGTTTTTGTTATTCACATTGCGATTTGTACAGTGACCATTTGCCATGAGGTGGCTACAACGAATGGGTGAACTCGTGTAAGTTATTAATTAAAAATAAAAATAAAACAGATTTTGGTCTCTCTCAATATCCGTTTGCGACTTAGCCCGGAACCACTATTTTGTTAATACGTAGATGTTTTTTTTTAAATAATAATTTCCTAAATAAAGTTACTAAATATACATGAAGACTATTTAGGTTAATTAGTGGTCCCGCAGTAGTCGACTATAATTAATTGAAATTATAAGTTTGAACATTATTATGGTCCTATTGTTAAAGACTATTATACTTCTATAATCACAGATTTCGCCAAGACTACACTATAGACAAATAATATTAAAGATGAAACAACATTAATCTATTCTCCACTATTGACCACAGACTTTAAGCAATAACAAGTTTGACAGTACACGATGAGTATATACAAATATCTGTGCGTGTCAAATACATGGTAGTGTGTGTTATGTTTTTTTATTGATTTTGTTGTATTATTAATCCATAAAAAAATGCTTTCTGCGTTCCTTCTGTATATTCTCTTAAGTGTCAGAAATTTTATACTCCCCCGTCCGCGCATTTTCGTAAAAGGGTTACAAAGTTTTTGCTTCACGTATATTAATATATATATAATTAAACAAAGTGACCACAGTGCCATCTTTATAATTAGCAGAGTAAAATCATGGAGACGAGCTGTACGGAGTTCACGTGCCGCACCTCCCCCGCCCGGCCCGTAACAAGTCAACTTGTATTATCTACGACTCTAATTTGAATTTATATCCAACGCCTTACGCGTATTTTCACCGGCCTCAAATGAGAAAAAGATAATACATCTCTCCTGATAAAATATTAATGTTCACTACACGTATGTGTGTAGATTGTTAAACAAATAAAGAGCGACAGAAAGCGTCAAAGTAAATAACAATGCAGCCACTAAATGTTGTTCTGTAAGAGAGATGAAAGAAAGACAACGCGTCATAATAATAGCCCCAATATGTGATAACGTCTAAACTTTACCTGGATGTGAAACGTTCCCCTTATTCTGTTAAATGTATATTTGTGTGTAAAAGTAACAACGGCACTTATTAAAAATATTCTAAATTTTAATTTTGTACTAAAAAAAAACAATCTCTACTTCATGCAAAATATGTATTCAAAACGACAGCAATATATTGCATTTAGTTATGCCGCGAACTCTATAAACATCAAAATATGTGAGTGATCTACTTCTTCGCGCAAAATTATAGCTCATCAGCTTTGCCAGCCAAATTTCGCGTTTGTGAACACAAAAGACATGGCACGTTGAAACAAGGCTAACATACATAGGCATAACATGAAAATACACATAATGAGAAATTGGTTCGTCATCGCCAGCATTTACAGCCTACTGCGTCAACCAAATCGCCTCCACTGCCTCGCCGCCGAACGGTGGTCTCGCCGACAATACGCGCTACAGCTGACATAAATAAAAGACAATCATATGTATAATAATGAAAACATAACCTACCATATTATATGCATAGGCCAAGATTCGCATCGTGTAGGCGGGCAGGTTGAGCACGACGAACACCGACGACACGATGAGAAGCATGCGGGTGACTCGGTGCTGAGAGCGCGGGCACCCCGTGGTGCGATACGGTCGCGCGCGGGCCCTCTCCATCTCCTCCTTCATGATCTGACGCCGTTGCCGCTCGAGCTTCCACACGCCGATCATTATCCATGTGTTCAATATTGTGATTAAAAATAGGGGTACAGAAAACGACAGCGCCGTATCGACAAGGTTGAACCGCGCCGCCTGGTCTAAGTACTCGAAATCTATGTTGCAATCATTTTTCGAGGGAACCGCGAACCGCAGCACCGGCAGGTTGATGAGCGATGACGCCAAGAGAACAGTGAAGATAATGTGACGGGCGCGAGTGACCGTGCACAGAGCATTGCGTCGGAGCGGGTACAGCACCGCGACGAAACGTTCTACCGTAAAGGCGACCACGAGCCACGAGCTCATGCAGCAACTCACGTACGTGACATAAACAAAGATTTGGCAAAAGCCGTGTTTGTAAAATAAACCGGTAACTTCAACCGCGTTCAGCCAAGGGGGGATCAGTTGAAACAGAAAAACGGTGTCTGATAAAGCCAGTGCCGTTAGGTACTGGCTGGTGGACTGCAGTCGCAACTTAGTCCGATAGAAAACGAATACCGAAAGAAGATTACCGATGCAACCGAGCGCCACCAGCAGCGGCGTATAGTAAACGTTCAAAAGAGTTGCAATATTTTCTGTAGCAATATCAAAAAAAGTCTCGTTTACGGCAGAGATATAAGACGAAGTGGCATTAAAATACTCTGAACTTTCAAGATAATAATCGGTTTCGTTCGCGGGCAGAGGGCACATAACGACCGGTCGCCGCCGGGATTCGGCGGGAACTGACAGCGTGAATTTCTGAGCAAGCCCTTAAATAGGCAGGTGGCGGGAGGGGTGCGTCGACGCTGCATAGGTGCATTGTACGGGTGTGGAACTCCGCCCCCCGCCCGTCTGGGGGGAGAGCGCCACATTCTCACCATACGCACGTCTTCAACAAGTTCTCGGCACTTGTTACTTTATCCTTAAATCATTTTTATTTGTCACATTGTTAGTGACGTTAAGCCAACACCTCTATTTTATCTATTTAGTGATAAGTTACTCAAATCAAAAAGGGCGGGGACGACAATCGGTTTTGATATTACATTTGAAATCGTAAATTATACACCGTAGAACCTATTATGCCTTACATCGCCACGACCTCCATGTACACCGTAACGAAGTGTTTTATAGAAAAGTAAAGATTGAATAATTATGTGGCGTCGTAGAAGTGTAGATTACTTCGTATACTCGACGGTCGGCTTCGAATAGGACCCGGGGGACTAACTGGTCGCCGTTGTCACGTTGTTCAGTGTAAATTGCTTATAAAAATAGAAGATAGCGGCTTCAACGGCGTGTTTTCTTTCTCCTAACTAGGGCTTCGCACAGATATCCGCACCATAATATATATTATCAAATTGAATCGTTATTTTTATTGCCTTAAAACTATATACCGTACACAACGTAAAAATTATCTAGATATGTATAGATTCATTGAAATTATTTGATTTATTCAGATATCTTTTTCCATCTCATGAAATTGACTTGATCTTTTAATATAAATGTTCAAATTACATTTATGTGCTCCGTGGGTATTAATGTAATATTGTTTGAGAAACAGCTCATATATTTATTATATGTAGTTTAATTAGGGACTCGCAGGGACAAACAAACAACTACATAAATAAATACTATAATGTCGATGCCAAAAAACAAGTGTTATTGTGTGAGTTAAATGATAATTATTATTGTATAGACAAATGTGCTAGCGCGTTATGTGAGCCCGCGCTGACTGGTACCAACCTATTTCTGCCAGTTCTGCTAAGTACCTAGTCCTTCAATTGAAAATTTCATCACGTGTCAATCCATCGATGTATCCGATGAGTGCAGTTTGGGCTAGAGAATAATGTTCGCCCATTAATCTTCCTGAGAGAGTGCTACGATTATTGTTGTATAACTATTTCAATTAATAAAATGTATGCCCACATATTAATCGCTTATATTTTTGTACAATTGATTATTTGATTTACATACATACCTATATGGAGGTCTGTCCCCAATTAACGCTAGTTGGATCGTGAGTTTTTCGAACCGTATAAATTTGCAATCTAAGGCAAAAAAATCCAACGGCTACTAAAAAAATAACAAGATACATTCAATAATAGAAATAAGCTAAAAGAAATTCTTCAGATATCAGATGGATTTTGTACAGAAACTTTTAAAAAATGCGCGCGTTAGAGTTAGATCTCTCCCCACGCTGCACAATACCAATAAGAGAGATTGTTAAATTGTAAACCGTCACAGAACCGTAACACCGTCCCGCTTGTACCTGCCGCGAAGTGATCGTCCGTTGAGTCTCGTAGAGTAGGATGGCCGGTGCTCCAAGCAATGCAGACATCGACCTTATAGATGGAGGTGGGCGTTCTCGTCCGTCCACTGGGCCCCGTCACTCCATTTGACCGTAAAGCACAATAAAATAATAAATATTTTTAAATAATTCATCGAAATACGACGGACAAGTAAATTTCGACTCTGACCAACTGTCGTTAGAATATCAGTTCTACAGATTCCCAGAATCAAAAGAACTCTTGTTTGTCAAACATTTTAACACAACAGCCAAAATCCTCATGTTATGTTAAGAAATTAATATATTAATTTTAATTATGTTCATTGAGAATTGAAATTGATTGCCGGTCATTGCTATTGTCATTGTTTGTACTCTCCATGGTTTTGCTCTCCGTGTAGCTCTGTTTCATTATGTCCGTTTATCTATCTTTGAAAGCATACAACGGATTAGCAAACACCTTAATGGTTCAATCGCTTGCTCGTCTTGTATTTGCTCGCATTTCGAAAACCTAAGAAGCACCACAATAATTTACCTTTGTTATTGCATAGATGAGTGAACGAACTCACAGCCAACCCAGTGTTAAGTAGTTACCGGGGGCTTTGATATCGCAACATCACTGTACCGCGACTCACCTTGAAATAGATTTTTAGTTACATAGATTTTTATTAACTCACATATATTAATCACTTTTGCTCGCCCAAGATTTAGATCAACTTTATATAATTTACATTCTGAAGAAATAATCGATATCGAAATAGTTTGAATCGCGAGAAATTTTTTATTATTTTCATTCAGTTGCCAAATACTGACATCCGATAGCAGAATATAAAGCGTAGACCACATATCAAAGCTGAAAATGGCAAACTATATAGTTAAGTTTAGTAGAAAGGTAATGAAATAAATTTTACTGAATGGCTATTCGAGAAATGGAAGTCATACAAAGTTTTACAAATTTTGACTAACGGTGAACTCTCTTGAACGGCTTCGAATATACTTTCATATTGCTAGACGTACTCTTATTTCCAAACTTCCGAAACAATGGTGGAATGGAATGGAAGTCACGTTTATCAAAAAATATTTACGTACAATTCACGATGCTAACTGGTTAATTGTATAAAAAACAGTCGAGCTATTATTTATTACTAGTTTTAAGATACTCCTGTAAAAAAAAACTCTCCACGAGACAGGCAGTGCCTAGTGTGGAGAGTCTTTAGCAAACTGTTATGTGTAAATGTTTTCAAGGCTAATAAATAAATTATTATTATTATTATGGGTTATGGTTTTTTTTTTTCTCAGCTAATGCTGGTAAGTGTGAACCTAGCACGGGCTTACGCCAAGTGAGTTGGTTCATTGTGTAGTGTTGTAGGGGTTTGAGTAGTGGATGTAAGCACTATGGAACAGGTGTCTATTATTACAGATTTTTGTAAAGCGATGTGTGAATATTTATTAAGATCAAGTTCTGAGAGCGATGTGTGTAATGATTTTGGAATGAGTCCGGTTGATGAAATTATTATGGGTATAATTTTAACGGTGTGTTGATGCCACATTTGTCGTATTTTATCTGCTAGTGGTATATATTTTTGTATTTTCTCAGTGTATTTTTTCCCCCTATTATTATTATTATAGCTATGTTCCTTGTACCCAAAGCATGATGATGACCACGATAACCACTCATCACCAGGCACGCGGCTCAACATATCCCTATACAAGTTAAGAACAGAAAACATGAGGTTCGGACGTTATTGCGTCTGACTTATATTCGAATCGAGCACATTATCCGAGGAGTGAACTCTTCACATTGTAAAGGACCCAACAATAGTAACCGATTTGTCCCTGAGGTTGTCACACGTCTTTCATTATTCATTATTGATATGTACTTCTCAAAGTCCACCTCGAGGTAGACGGTACAATATGCACCGCGCAGTAGAGGCACCGGTGTTCAAATGTTGTAACAGACACTCAGGAGTATCGGCAGGTGAGATATATCCGTTTATATCCTAATTCGAGCATACAAAGAAAAACGTTTGTCACATTGATATATTTAAAATGTATTGCTTATTTTAGAATAATTATAGTTTTATTTTTATTTTGTAGTAGTATTTGGTGGTAGAACTAGGTAGACTTTTCGGTTTTTAAGAGCGCGTTGCTGTTATACTGTAAAACCGGATAGTTAGAATTCATGTCTCAGGATGAGCGGCGGCATTGACGTGGTTGATACTTATGAGCTCCGGTGATCACTTAACATCGGGAGAGCCCTGAGCTTGTCCCCCCATCTTGACAGTAAAAAGGACCATTGTTAAACAATGTTAAAGAGAATGAATAAAAACCACAAAGCAACATCCTATTTTACCAAATTCTACTGAATCTATTTTAAGAATTGTTTTGTGTTATTCGAGGATATTTCCTTAATGTTACCCCCAAAGGTTTATCGTTCAAAGAGAAATTCAATTCGTTAAGACGTGATACTCCACAATTTCCTCAAATGTAATATTTGTTTTTCGTGTATTATTTGAGTATTTTATTCAGGCTTGCCCGCTTCTGTCGTAGACTGGATTATTTTTCTTCGACAAAAACATACCACAACGAGTCATCGGTAAATGAACAACAGTTATTTAATAAATCAAATGAATTAAACATTAGCTGTGACGTGGAAGCTACATTAAACGAGATTGTGTAAAAGACGACCATACCCAATAATATAAAAAAGTACCAAAACTCCCGTATTTATTAAGCAATTATATTATTTACAATGACATGTGTTTTGTATTTCAATTAATTGCTGCTCATGAGTTTGTTGGTAAAATGTACTCTAATACAGTGTCAGCTTACCGAAATCTCAGTAATGTCTAATTTTGGAGACAAATTCGGACCAATTTATAGGGAAATAAGATAAAGGAAAAGATACCTTGTAATTAATTTATAAATAAAATGTTACAATTAACAACAGGCGTAGTTATAATTACTAGTGGCCCCGCAGTAGTCGAAATTCGACTATAATTAATTGGTATTGTAAGTTTGTACACTATTATGATTGTATTTTATACTTCTATAATCACAAACTTCGCCAAGGCTACACTATAAAAAAATATTAATAAAGACAAACAATATTTAATCTATTCTCAATTTGACTACAGACGTCAAGAACAAAAGTTTGACAATAAATAGTATGCATGCGTGTGTGCGTCAAATACATGGTATGTAGTGTGTGTAATGTTTTCTTTATTGATTTAATGTACTTTTTTTGCATTATTTAAAAAAAATATTAGCATTGTGCACTTCTTCTCTGTATTCTCTATAAGTGTGAAAAATTTCATACTCCTCCGTCCGCGCAATTTTCGTAAAAAGGGATACAAAGTTTTTGCTTCAGGTGTATATATAGATGATTTTGTATAATAAAAACCTTTCGAAATGAAGCGTAGGACGTCTATCAAAAAGGGCGTTTACGATATAGGTCCAATATTCCATGAACGAATAAATAATTGCAACTAACCTCCGTGTCTAATTATATGCTAATCTATACTTAATGTTATAAAGCTGAAAAGTTTGTTTGTTTGAACGCGCTAATCTCAGGAACAACTGGTCCGATTTGAAAAATTATTTCAGTGTTAGATAGCTCATTTATTGAGAAAGGCTATATGCTATATAAAATCACGGTAAGGCCAATACAAGTAGAGCACTAATAAAGAATGTTTCAAAATATAGGTTTAAATAGCTCCTTAACATTCTATAATTCAAAAATATTTTCACTTTCTACGTAAATGAAGTTGGGGTAAAATTTAATGTTATGCCAAAGTAACTATTCCACGCGGACGGAGTCACGGGCAAAAGCTAGTTAATAATATGATAAAATTATATAATTACCCATTTTAGCATTGCGTTTTAAATAGTACACCTTTTTTTTTTTTTTTTTTTTCCGGGCCGGGGGCCGAACCTCCTACGAGGTACCCGCGCCTAGGGGGCGCGCGGGGTATGTGAGACTCAACGATCTGCAGGTGTTGAGAGCAGATCGCACACCTAACTTAACACGTCGGTTTGGTGAAAATTAAAATTTAGTTATTACGTGGAATTGATGTTGTCGTTTTATCACAATACAGGATAACTCGCCTGGCGTACTCATCTGAAGCAATGCGAATACCAGGTGTATTCTATTGCAGCAGGCGAATACCTTTCTTTAAACAAAGGCGTACTTAGCACATTGTAATTGAATTCCACGATGGAGGATTCACGTAGTGTTATAGATATTAAACCAACAAATTTTGTATTATTACTAGTAGGAGTATTATAAGTATACTCGAGTAGTACCATCCTCCTAATTACATACTTAACACTAGTGGAGCTAAGTCTAAAAAAAAGTAATACATCATTTCAAATTTTATAAATGTCGATTAATCTAATTATCGATTGATTTTCTCAACTATAATTATGGGAAAATATTAAAGTAACTTGTTTTTGGATGTTGATTGTTTTTCTAACAAATTATGTTAAGATAATTGAATAGTCTTGACTAATTTAGTATTTTCTAAGGCAGGTATCTCTTTGGAAAGCTTTATTTCGTGTTATCTGCATTAGTACATTGCTATGCTATTAAAACTTTGTTGTTGTGAACAATTTTCAGTGAACATTCCTGATGTAGGAACATAAGCGAACAGCGAAGTGCAACTCGTATCAATACTTACCTTATCTGTATCTGTATCTATATATATAGTCATAGTGACCCATGAATAATTCCAGCTCTATCTAAATATAAATTAAATGAATAGTATGTACATAAATATGAATTAAGGTTGTTAATGAAGGCTTCTTTATCTTTATCTTCTATACTAATATATAAATCTACAGTGGTTTTTACGGATGTTCTGTTGTAACTACTGAACCATGCATCCGATTGACTTGAAACTCGGTATCCATGTAGAAAATACATGTACTTAATGGATAGGCTAATATTTATATGAGTGTTGGACTCCCTACACCAGGTGCGGGGGCGTTAATGTTGAGAATCTTTGTGGGAGTGAGAAATAATAATGTTAATTTTAAATGCCTAGCGAAGCGGACGGGTACTACCTAGTTATCTAATAAAGTTCTTGATTTTGTTGCAGGCTCGGAGAAGGGTCGAGGAACATTGGATGCGCTTCTTTGCACAACCTACTGCAGGTCCCAGCTATATCTATCTAGGCAACTATCCCAACTACACCCTGAGCTCACCATGCCCATGTTCTCCGGTAAGCTATAGAATTTAATACATTACGATAAAGTACGTCATAAGTGATTCGCCCAGTGTAGTCACCTAGGTATGATCGAAGGCAGAGAGGCACATTGCCCATCAAACAGGAAATGACTTCCATTACTCACGTACATTGGGAATACCAGGAGCATGACGTAAATAGAGACTCTCCTAAGGACTGTTCTAGATACTAGTTCTAAGAAGAACATGACATAGAATGAAACAAAACTAATATCCGTAAAAGTGTTATTGACAATAATGATCTGAAAACATATTCGGCGGAGGGAGTCATTTTAAAACGGATATGGCAATAATCTCAACTCTTACACTATTGTGTATTGTGTTTATAAACGTGATACCTGATTTGGGTGATTTTTAAACCCACTGAGTTTCTCGCAAGATCTTTTCAGTGCGTAGATTCTGCGAATCAGTGCTCTTGTTAGGGTTAGTGTTTGCAAATTCTCTCAGGTTAAGCCCGTGAGCTCACCTAACTGTCCGGACGTAGCTGGAAGGATTAAAATTAACACATTTTATTATTTTATTTATTAATCTATACTTTGCAATTGTACAAGTCCAATTACTTGTGTTTGAAGATCTGGACTTAATATAAAGTTTGAAATAATTATGGTATTTGATATTGATAGTTAATTGCCGTAGTAATTTTGTAAAGGGTGCCATTAAACATATAAATTAAATAATAATAAGTTAAAAGGTTTTGACTAATAAATATGAAATAAATGTTTGTAACTGCAAGCTTTTCGAAGTGCTCTCTTTTACTGACGACACCCGACTCATCGCATACGGGACACGAAGTTTGTACATTCAGTAAACTTCAAACAGCTTCCTAACAGCACTCATACTTGCGTCGAGGTCCTGAAGACGACTCGCACGACTCTCAGAACTTGGGTTCGCTGACAAATACAAACGCTGACGTTCGACAAACAAGAAACATGTATATACATTATTTTCTGTTTTGTAAAAATTGTTATAGTTTTCGCACACAATAGAATAACGGTCGCATTAGGTAGTCGCAACAGTATATTTACAAGTATTAAGAGTTTAAAAAAATAGGAGGTTAAGATGTTTTAGGGCAATCAAAACAAAGGGAAGATCTTTTGTAATGTTGTACTTTGGGAGGTGTTAAAGGAAAACGTCTTCTTGCGTGTATTCCATGTTTAATAATCATCTTAATCCTAGTTTATAATTATGAAGAAGCCTATGTTTCTGGGTGGTCCGCCCTATTAGGGGGACATACGAGATTGCACCTATTAATTATGTTATATACTAAATACTATGCTATGCTATACTATAATATATAAGTATACACACTTCACTTTCACCGAGCGGCTGAAATTGCTCGTATGATGCGATTGCTGTTGTTCGGAAGTTGTGTATATGCAAACCAATCTTGAAAATCTTAGCGCGATTTAGACATCTACCTACCCAATAACTTCCATTCTATGATAGCTACAGATACCATCTAATAGTTGTAATAACAATTAGAACATAAACTCCGTCGCTCTAACTGCGCTTGTACGAGTTAGGTCTTCGTCTATTCAAGTCTATTGTGTAATTTTGAATTGTTGAACTTTTCACACCAATGCATATCGATGCGATCAATGTGGACTACGAAATAGCAAGCTCTTTGTTTAAAAATGTTAATGTGCATGTAAAAACCGATTCCAGAAAAGAAAATATCTTTCGTTCCGAATTCTTTATTTTCTACTGAATTCGTTTTCTATACAAATATATACCTAAAATAAACAGTCTTTAAGTAAAGGGTATCATTCGCTTGACACTCGAAAAATAATAATTAGTAAAGTCACTTTATCAAAAAGAATCCTTTACTTAACACACGTAACGAGCAGTAAAATGTTGTAGATACTCCACTTCCGCCTGCATATCATATAGGTTCGTCATAAACATCACTCGGCTAAGAGTTCTATAAAAACGAAACCTCAAACAACCTTAATCACCTCGACGTATCTCCCAACTTACTAATTATAAGATGTGAGAGTTTTGAAAGTGTGAACCACGCAGATTAACTCGGCTACAGTATTAGGGTTCCGTGACAAAATGTTAAATAATTGAATCCTAATATTTACGTCATCTCGGTATATCTATTTATAAACCTTACCCATTTTACGTTTTACTTGACGACTTTTACGCATTGATTGTATAACTTGAAAGGGTGCATTATATATTGTATGGAATATAACAATAGAATGGTACTTCAAAGATGTAAGTGAGCGATGCAAACAATTAGAGGGCGATGTATATTTAAAAAAAAGACGTGTGGCACTCGGAAACTGCCGCGGTAAAGCTATTGCATAGCATTTTATATCAACTTATGCAATTATAATTAGACAATAATAATTTAATATTAAAACAACAATAAAATAAGATCCGGCGAGAAACTCAGTGGGCTAACTTTCAATGAATCTGCTACATTGTGAGTATTCCATTTTGACCGCGCCCTCACTAGAGGGCGCTACATGGGATAGAGACACGCCTTTGGATGCTAGTTCTAACTCTCATTCGCCCAGAATCAACGGTTTAGCTAGTTTATTTTTAATGCCACTCCAATCACTGAATGAGTAGTAGGAGTAGTAATAAAATTCTTCGACTAAGTGATAGAAAATGGCACGCCCAACGCATTGTAATGTGATATAATTTAATTTTACAATTCCGTTTGTCGCCGATAGATGGCGCTTGACGCAAAAGCTGAATCGCGCTATCGTTGTGTTACCCACGAAATTATATCACATATTTTGATAGTACATAATCGGTGTTAAGACTTCTTACTTTAAACACTACACAAGCGCAACGTGTGAATGTGTTGAACGCGAGCTATATGGTAGGCGGAGTGAGGGGTGGAAGATTTGTTTCGTTACGGAATTTCACGATTCCGCTCTCAAGCCGCGCTCAAGACTCGCGATAAAATCTATGCAATAGCTTAAAAGTTATGTTAAAAATATATTATAATTATGTCCATAGTTGATAAAATCGATGCCTCCAATGAACACTACGCTAACTCCAAATTCGTAGATTTACAGGAGGAGCGTTTAAACGAAAAAAGTTGATAAAATCTTTATTATTGCAGATATATTTATGTTTTTTTGTGTAACTAGCTGATTTACTCTTGCTTCGAACTCCATCAATAATGATTAATTGTAATACTTTTAGCATAGTGGAACGATTTGCAAGAAAAACGAAAATTTCAAAATTTTGAGTTAGAGTAGTGTTCATTGGAGGCATCGAAATATGCACTACTTGGGTAGTAGAAAGAGCTTCTTAAAGCTTTGCGGAATAGTGACACACGTAAATACGTTAACTTTGAATTTAAGAAAAAAATAATTATAAATATTCTAATTACGGACTACTTGTCGGTACCTGGATTGACAAGTACGTACTAGATTTTTAATTAACTACAGCTTACTTACTACAGTTTTCAAAGTGAGAGACATATTTGCCATAAAGCTCTCTTGGAATTTCCAAATGAAACAAAGTCGATTTAACCATTGCACCCTTTGCCGGGCGAATACGTGACCTTTTTCTATGTATGGAATAGGCGTTATTAATAAAATATTGAATATACCACCCAACGTTTGAAAAAATATGAAATAATTTTAATGAAGTATGAATCGGTGAAAATTTGTACATTTCTAAAAATGTCCTTTAGGCACACACACATTACCTCGTCGCCTGGGTCGGATGTGTAATTAGCGGCGTCCACGATAAGAGGAGTATCGGTAACTGCTCAAAGTTTGAGATGGGCAACAAAAGTCAATAGTGTTTGTTTTAATCTAATGGACCTAATATATTATATTTGGCTGATGCAAATTATAATATTGTAAATAGTAAATTCAAGCACGGTGAACAAATTTAATATCCTTTACGTGGTCTGTGATATTTTTAGGAATAAATGCGCCAAAATTTGACAAAACTATACACGCAATAGTATTGATTTTTTATGGATCTTCCACATGCTTCGAGCTATCAACTACGAGCGTTTGTCACTGAAAGGTCTTGTGTGTATCGTAAATATTTAATCTCCGCATGTTGGATTCGGCCCGCACCACATAATGCAGCACTCGGTCGTGTACTTAACTCTGTCGGGGACTGAGTGCAATCGTGATCAGCCAACAATAGGTTTTTGTGTGCGAATCTCTATTATACGGCTGCAGGACGTTATGTTACTAAATTGGAGCTCTTTAAACTCCAATGATGAATGACAGTTCATCGAATGCACGATAAAGGGAGATAAATAGGAAAACGGATATTAAGTAAAAGCGTTCAAGTCGTGTCTCTGAGCTGCAACAAACAGTGCGAGGCAGCCATGACGTCGCTACGACCAGGTGTCCCAACTCATCACTTCTAACGGTCACAGCGTTATCGGTTACGCCTCCGTACTTCTAGAATTTACTAACATTAGCATTTACGTGCACGAATGAACAAACTGGCAATTTAAATCTTGAAAATTTAAGATTTAAATTGCCGATTCCGATTATATTAGAATATTAGAGTAACAAAAAGTAACGAAGGCTAATAATATTAGAATAACGTAATGGTGATGGTATTGTTTATTTTATTTTTTAGCTTTCAGGTTCTGACGATTTCACGGTCCTTTCAATATTAATAATCGCCGAATGGATAATCGTCAAAATAAGATAAATCTAATTGACATAAATGATGTACCATTGGTATCATTTTATGGTAGGGCGCCTTGCGAGCATTTTTTTATAGCTTAGATGCGTGGACGAGCTCATAGCCCATCTGGTTTTAAGTGGTTACTGGAACTCATAGACATCTACAACTTAAATGCGCCGCCCACCTGGAGATATAAGTTCTAAGATCTCAATATAGTTACAACGGCTGCCCTACCCTTTAGACCGAAACGCATTACCGCTTCACGGCAGAAATAGGCATGGCGGTGGGTACCTACCCGCGCGGACTCAGAAGAGGTCCTACCACCAGAGTAATTTCGCAAATTATACT